AACGAATGATATTCAACAATAAACTTTGATTTTTGGCATCAATTATTGAAGACAATAGAATTTTCACACCAACACCCTGTTAGTGGATGTAAATTTACTACATTTTTCAAATAAGAAGTGGGAATTGAACGGGATTGAAATGGAAAAGTAGTTTACTGTCTTATAGCAATTGTTGATCCTCCAGACGTTTTTTTGCAAAGTGAAGTGAGGTGGGTGTAAAACTTGGGAAACCGTGGTACAATGTACCAAGTAAGTAATTAAATACTAGTTTTTTTGTCCCTAATATGCAAAGATAATGTAAAAATAACAATATAATTTAGTTTTCACAGTAGAATGATTTGACTTCAGGGCTGCAAATGTATCTACTCCAAATTTAATATATCAGACGAAGTAACAAGGTGTAACATTGCAAAATAAGCCTGATCCGAAGTAATACAATACAATAATTAAGGCATGATGACAAACCAACGCAAATTCTCAAAGTGAGGATGCACAATTGACAAAACTATCTAAATTTTCTTTGACAAATAAGTCGTTGGAGTTGGATATAAACCAGGGGACTACCTACTTTTATAAGTTTGTGGTTCAATAAAATCTCCGGAAAAATAATTACTTCACTTGAGTAAGTTATTACTGATTGGCTGGAACCATAGGAATGAGGATTTATTAAGTGAACCATTTTTGAAAATTTCTCAAAGGATGTAGAATTCAAAAAACTGAATGGATTACTGGCTCAGCAATAAATTTGATTTGGACAAAAGACGCTGCCCGGGTGCATTACTTGTAGAATAATGAGAATGAGTTCTTGTGACTGTGTTAATATAGCGCTGACGCAGTGCACAAAGTTAGTGAGGCCAAATGGATTATACCGTGGTGTCAAGTCTTGACCCATTACTGCATGCGTTTAGGGCCTACCTTTCGGTGTTCCAATGTAGAGGAAGAGGATGATGATGAGGAGGGTGGTGAGGATAGTGCAGAGGATGATGAACAGGAACTCTCGCCACGTGCACGCTGTAAGTCGTTTTCCATTGACGACGACACCGCCGTGGCGAATATGGGGCGTGGGACACTCGTTCGCATTCGCTGGGGTAATTAGCATTATAGAGTTATTCATGTTCTCCAATTTATCGGACAGGCCAAAGAGACCCTCGAAGGGAGCAGGAGGTGACGGTGGCTGTGACGTGCCTTTTGCACTTTGAATAGATGCTTTCAGAGCCAAGTACTGCGCGTTGCCTATGTCAGGAGCGTCAGCAACCGGGTCATAGACTGAGACTGCTTGCTGATTGGTCGGAGTGGCCGAGGACAAATGACAGCGCTTAGAGGAACACGGGCCACCAACCACAAGGCGGTTTATGTCTAGCGCCGCGTTGAGTGGTAAGTCCTCGCTGTCAGTAAAGTATTTATAGGCCTCACAATTCTCCGTTTCTGTCTTCTGCTTCATTCAGCTGAGATCATCCGGCAAGGGGTGGTTATTTGCGGGCATTAGTGATGAAGAGGAGGAGGAGTATGGCGAGGCATGGCGACGTGGTTTTAATTGCTTCGGTCCTGGATATTAATGTAGGTGTGTGCGTGTATGCATACGCGTAGTGAACCTGTCAAGCTCAGGCTTTCTGGGAAACGCTGATTGGGCTGGCTACTACCAGGTTTACTGATTGCTAGAGAACTGCCATATTGATTGGTTGGCCATTTTTCTAGCCTGCTTTTTGATTGGTTCCCTATTCAATTGCCGCGTATGTCGTAGGGGTATAGCATTTGCCCCTGAATTGAATACTTCGTTTCTTCCATTTAACCATCACTAGCACAAATGACTATTCGAAATATACATTTTTAAAATTACCACTTTTTGGGAGGTTTGTTTTGCCAATGCCAGTAATACTGCTGCTGAGAGACAACAAAAGTTTATCAAACATAGGAAGTAATTTTGTGTGTCTTAACATTAAATGATTAGCATATTATTAATCTTACTTGACCAGTCAATAAAGTATTCTAGGAATTTATCACGTACTACAAATAAAGCTTCTTCTGTGAGATAAGGGGATACGGGAGGAAAAAGGATTCCCTGTTGGCTTGGCATTCAACCCTTTTCACAAGGCTGGAATTTCCGGTTAAGTGGATGAAGAACACTTCCACTGTACATCTGTTTATACATGTATTGCATTAATTGAATACCTCTTCTTTAATGCTGCTGCCGAAAATAATCTCCCAACCAATTTTTCCATGAGCAAGCAGTAGCAGTGTCACCTTTCCTACCGCTGGTGTTTTATCCATTCGGCAATCTCTAATGACGAAGTTCTGCAAACAAGAGTTATTTTTTCTATTGTAAATTTGGCCGCCTGCAAGTAAGTGGGATACCTTGGCACATTAAAATCAGATGGTTTATTAAAAATGCACAAAATTTGTGGTTTTCTTTGAGAAATGCAGTGTGTGTAAGTTTCAGGTATACTTACTGTAACAGTGATTTAGATCATGATTCGTAAATATGGTTTGAGTAAGTTTGGCAGCGCTGATAAATGCAGTGAGAAAAGTACACCATGAAAGGCAACCAACAATGCTGGCACAAGTACATACCAGGGCATGGATTAGTCGCCAACTTTAAAGCGAACCTTCCTGAGCCGAGGGGCTATCATCGTCACGTCCAAAATATTTCAAAATTTCCCTTTCTGCTATATGTCAGGTCGACAAGCCATTTCCATAACCATTTCTCCAAAGTCCTTATTTAAAATCCCGTTCCCAGTGCGTAAGGTGTGAGTTTGTCGGTTTGAAATCTCTAATCTGAAAAATGACTGAGTTAGAGCTATGCAGCAACCTTAAGGAGCTAGCTTGAAGCAGTCTATCACACCAAAACAAGGCAAGTTAGAGTTTACCTGATCCGTTTTCAAGTTCATTAGAATGACTTAAATTTGTGCAGATTTCGCACCGCCTGATCTTTTGTTGAGAATTTAGCCGGTGTTCTTAAGGCACAATCAAACAAATTCTCTACTCATTGCCATAAAAGCTTACTCTTTTACCTTAGCACCTGTAACTTGGCAACAAACTACATATTACTAAGACCTCCAAATTTTCACAAAAGCAGGGCTATTCGCACGTGCACAAGAAAAGAAAACAACACAAACAGCAGAATTCTCAAACCACTTAGAGGCGCTGACGTTTTGGTCAGGGTAAAATTCACCAGATTTTTGATAGAAAGATGGGATAATAACCGAAGATAATTAAAACAGACATGGAAGCACAAATCTTCTTTTATTCAGCCGGTTGCTTTCATAGAAATCTCTAATACTTATGTAACCCTTGAGTTAGTTTGTGAAAACAATTTTGGTAACTATTAAAAACCTCAACTAATAAGGCCTAAAACAGCCTTGTTTAATGGGGCGAGAATAAAAACCGGCGGGTCATTTGCACGAGTTTATAAATAACGTAAATTTCGCTATAGCCAAACAAATATTAGAAAAATCGATGGTGAGGTTCGAATAAAATTAGATGTTTTTATCTCGTTAAATATTTTTTTAAAAATCACTCTAGTCATCATATACAAACGTTATGAAGTTTTGGCTGATATTTTGATGAGGCATGCAATCGCTAGTTTAGTTGAAATTGATACATTGTAGTCGCTAATTTGGATGTTTGCGGCTTGGATTGTGTATCCTGTTCCCTCAGCTTGCAGCATATCCTTGTAACCGCAATGTGGATTATACGAAAATACTACCGAACGTACATAAGTTTGAAGTTTGCTAGAGCTAACAAATCACAAAGACGTCACAGCTAATGCCATCATTTGGGTTATTACAGTTGCAACCATAACTTAAATGGTATAAATTAGTTAAAAAGGGAGAAGGTGTTATAAGTCAACTTAGGTGGGGAGACGTAGCATCTGACACTCACGGTAAGAGAGCAATGAATTTCCAGTACACGGTGTTTCTGTAGGCAGGGCTCATTGCCACACGTGTATAACACACTTGTGTATATCTTAATGTGAAGACGAATTATATACATAAATATACCTAGTAATCTTTTATTTAATTGCGTTTATTGGTGATTGCTAAAGTGCTTGTCCTTATTAAACGAATTCGGAACCCTCCTCAGTCACATTAAAAAGTACTTCTGTGATAGAAAAAAAGGTATAAAACAGTGCAAACGCAAACGGCGCAAATTGCATTAAGAACAAGTAAAATAAATTTTACACAGCAAGCCAACTAATTTTACTATTACACCGATTTTAAGAGCACATCCATGAAGACCTCTACGTAATGTGATAAATACTAAAGTAATTTTAGAATATGCCTTTGATCAAACCATTAAGGAGCAGCGTGGTATTAGCAAAATCTAAATTATATGAAATTTTGGTAATTGGAATTGCAAACGCCGAAGGTAGCTGATGATTGTGAATTTGTTAAAAGAAGGAGAGTTAAGTAAAAACGGACTTTTAAACTAACTACAGATACAGTGATTGCCTAAAAAGATCCAGCAAATGCCCTCTTCTCACTCCCTATTCAACTTAGGTCACCAATATAAATTTGAAGAGTTTTTCATTTTTTTAAATTGGTTGAAACAAAAAAAGCGTTCCAAGCCGAATTAGGACATTTAATGACGCTTATGTACCATACTGTAGTGCAAAATTTCTCCATCTCCATTGTCGTTAATATCAATCAAATGGATGCCGGGCCGAATCCGCACTTTTAGAGAAGTTTCCAGGGTGTCGTTGAATTGACGTGGCGTGGGGTTTGGTTTCCGTTTACACAGCACTGAAGTTGAAACTTGCTAAAAATGGGCCTTACCATATCTTCTCTATTTCAACAACTATTTGGGAAGAAGAATGTTCGTATTTTGATGGGTAAGCTTGATAAATCATCGTTCTAAATCGCATGATCTTCGCGTTTTTGAACAGCTGGGGACCTAGTTTTATTAATTCTAATTTTTTCCTTCATTGGCCTCACATCTCGTAAATTTCGTTGTGCTCGTGGTGATGCACGAGTGCTCGGTTCATGCTTTTCTTGACACCTACATTGTTGTTGTTTCTATTTCTTTAAATGGCCATTTCACTAGGCCTTCCTTGTCGTTTTAAAATTTGCGCCCACAATCTGCTTATTTTTACCCTGTTCATTTTCAATTGTTGCATTTTGCTGGGCCTGATTTAATGTCACCTTTTTTGGTATCAGGAAAAGTACCTATGATTTTTTTGTATTGATTTATAATCATGTAGTGGATAGTGACAAATGGAAGTAGAGTTGTGAAACTCTTCCCTCTGTTTTTTCCAAATCGTAACAACCTCATAAAACTTACCTAGTCAGTTGGTGTGCTACTGTTTCAATCTTTGATACGTTTCTTCTTTTCAGTTGGTCTAGATGCCGCCGGAAAAACAACAATTCTGTACAAATTGAAGCTTGGTGAGGTTGTTACAACAATCCCCACCATTGGTTTTAACGTAGAATCTGTTGAGTATCGCAACCTCAATTTCACCGTCTGGGATGTAGGAGGGCAGGACAAGATTCGCCCGCTGTGGCGACACTATTTCCAGAACACACAAGGTCTCATCTTTGTTGTGGATAGCAATGATCGTGACCGAATCGGCGAAGCTGCCGAAGAGTTACAGAAGATGCTCTCCGAAGAGGATTTGGCCAATGCTGCTGTCCTTGTTTTTGCTAACAAACAAGATCTGCCAAACGCTATGCCAACCACAGAAGTTACCGACAAGCTGAGGCTTCATAACCTTCGTAATCGCGAAGTAGGTCTTTTACCGCCGTTTTGGCCTCTTTTTACCCAAATGTTGACTATAACATCAGTTTTGGTGTGCTCTCATGATTTTTTAACATACATTCTGGTAGTTAATGCCAATTTATGCCATTTGGGAGTTAGAATTTTAGTAACAGATCGTTTTACGGTACTGGTGCTATTTGCGCCGACGTTAGCCTGCTTAATCAGTTTATTGTAACAAGTGCTTTTAAACGCGGATGCAGTACCATGTTTGTGAAAATATTTTTTAAGTTCTTAAAAGTGGTCTATTTGAGTTTTACGTGATCTAGTTCCTTATATTTGAATTCATTTAAGATGCAAAAATTCGTATTTCAACCGTTGATCGTGGCTTTTGTTATCTATTTATCTTGGGCCGTTTGGGTGTTGATGTATGGAAAGTGAGCTTCTTTTCATTGCTTCGGACACTTTTAGTGGTACATACAGAGTTCTTGTGCGACAACAGGAGAGGGTCTTTACGAGGGAATGGATTGGCTCTCAAAAGTCCTTCTCAAGTCCTAAACAAAGCTCTGGTGACAGTGCAGGCACTTGCATTCACTTCACTCGATTACCTTCTGCTCGTCACCACCCACATTGCGTGCGCTAGTTACCTCCTGTCTCACCTCCTCCTCCTCCTCGGTTTGCGCTTACTCTACGTGCCTGGGCAATCTTCAGTGCCGATGTGCACACACATTCCATCAGACTAATTGTTTATTGGCGTTTGGCCTGTCTAACTGCCCTTGATAGTGTGCGTACCTGGCGCCTGCTCAGTTATCTTTCCTTTCATGACTGTACCATATCCGATCTTGTATGCTTGTTCGTGTTTTACTTCTCAAAGATGTCCTTCTCATCATCTTGTAATTTGAATCACGGTCCCTTTGTGTACATCGCGGCAGCTTCGTGCTGCCTTAGCTATCACTGATAACAGAATTGTACAATGCTTTCTACTGGATTCTTAAAGGTAGTGATGTCTCGGTGCACACGTATGTGAGCAAAATTTTTGTGGGTGTACATAAGAGATAGGTAAATAGAGAGGAATGGCACCAGCGGAGATTCATCCAGTTTGCGAAGGAATCAAAATGAACCTTAAGATGGCTTTTTGAAGCCAACGGCGGTGACCCTCACATAACTAGGTGGGACGTGTCGATAGCTGGCTCCGTTAGTAAAGAGTACGTTTGGGAATAGTACTTACAATCAGGTAGTGTTTCGACTTCTGCTGGAAAGTTCCCTTCAAGACAGCTGTTTGCTCAGGCAAGTAGCTTGGGTTTGGCCCTCGGTGCTCAGATGTGGTTTCACTCCTCTTTTCACCTAATCGTTCTGACACCGTTTGGCTGCGTTTTTAGATCATTGTTAACATTTTGTAACATGGACTGAAATTCTACTACTCCTCACACCTTCGATACCAATGATTTGAATATACCTCTTCTGTGATTGCACTAATTTGCTCGGTTAAGGTCCTGCTTTGTTACTACTTCCGGAAGGAAGATGCAATTGGGATAATTGTCAAGCACCCGATACGGTTATTTAGGTCCTTTGGCTGCGAGTCTGCACAAATTCAGCCATCCATTAATATTGCACAAAGTCTGATTTCTTAAGACTGGAAGCCTTAATCTCAAGGCAACTGAAATATTCCAAACCATTGACAGTGATAGGGCCCAAAATTTACATGCATGTATGCATGGGAAGGCTAGAGGATCAGAGTTCCAGGCCACCGTCGGAGGATGCAAAGATCATTGTAACACGTTTTCATAACCACATTTGTGCAGCATTCGTCCTAGTGTATGTGCGAGCGGTGGGTTGCCAACGCAATTATCCACTGCGGCGACTGGACTTCTTGCTGACGTCCAAATCGCACTTGCTATTGACATTGCTCTCTCAATACTGGTTGATACAACTGGGAGCCGTAAACGAAAGGTTCTTCTTCAGAAATGATCATAAGTGGTCAATCCGTGGGAAGTTCGGTTTTTACCCTCATCCCTATACGGCAGCGCAACGCATGACCCGCACCTCATGCCACCTCAATACCTACCCATGAGAAGATCTCGTCCCACACTTTAGGCTGGGAGGTGCAGGTAGATAAATTTGGATAACGTTATCAAAACGAAAACTTTGTACTTTCCTTTAGCGGTTACATTAATTGAGGATATATGTGGAATGTGTGGGATGGATGCGTACGTGGTGGTGGTGGTATTGCTATTATCTTTAAGCGTAAAATGATCATAACTGTGTGGAATGTTTGGTGAATGGAGGTGTGGTTGACACTGCTAGCACCATGTATGTATATCCTGTCTTTCCCAATGCTAAGTAAATATTTTCATATTATTACGGATGAGCTGGGAGACAATTTGTTTATTGCTAGTGCACTTCACCATCTTGTGCCGTTCAAAATTCCTTTTTATAAATGATTATTTAGGATGGAATTTAAATTAAGCCATTTGCCAGTGTTTTTATTATGGACCAGTCTACCACCTGTCGTGCAAAATTTACTGACTTGCTACAGGAATTTCTTGCTTTAAGGTGAAATAGAAGACTGAAATAAAATTACGGCGGTTTATTCAAATGTTGCATCTTGATTTTTTTAAGGGATAAATGAGCGAGACGAAAGCTAGTCGAAAGAGTAGATGCCAAATGACAGATAGGCTAATATTTGCGTAACACAGGAAGGGTGAGTGAGTGAATGAGCACAAAAATGGTTTCCATTTTGCTGCTTTGATAACACAAACACCACATGTGGGTAAGAATGAGTGAAACGTTCTATCGGCTATTTGACACAACACATAGCCTATGGGGAAACTAGCTCACTACTTATGATAAGATCTGCTGTGTCGTTATATATCGCCAAAAATACCGGCAAAGGTCTTTCTAAGATTTTTCATGGTGTCATCTGCGTCATCAGGATTCCCGGAGGACTGCTGCGAGGTCTGCCTGGATCGTGCAGCCATCGAAGTGGTGGTGGCGGAGGAGGACGAAGAGGTAGTAAGCGTGGAGGCGATCTGCGAGGTCTGATTCACTGATGCCGGTGGTGATGGTACACTCCAGGGATCGTTGTGCCGAGATCCCAACTGTGATTGCCCGAAATCCATCGATGATCTATGATGTAGCAGCAGAATGATTGGATGGGCTTTTAATAACTGTCTCGAGATATAGACCTTTGAAATGAGGAAAGTCGCTCACATTTTTGCAGCAATGCGATCTCCGATTTAAAAAAGGTTTTAACTCACCCCCCCCTTCCAAACCTCTATGAGATTGTTGCAAAACAGTATAGTTGTATGAAACAATAAAAAGGCATTAAAATTTTAAATTAATGCAACAGTGTAGACTGCTTTAAACATCAACGAGACGAAATGGTTGCCTTAGTATAGTGGATGAATTACTCCAAAGGCCCAAATTAAGACTATGCGACCAACGCTGAGCAGGAGGTAGTCGAAGTGGATTGCTCTGCAATGACATCGGACCACATGAGACATGAGCTGGGTGAATTTCACCGCGCTCACCCCAAAAGAAAACTAGTTCTCATATCTACCAGGAGTGATTTGCTTGAATTGCAACAATATTAAACAGCACTTATTTCGAATGCCAGCAAAAAATCTGCATAATTTTGTTCGGCTTTACCGAAGATTTTGGCAGCAGCAGCTACTGCTTCCGTCCGTAAACTAGTGAATATCACAAGTGAATAACTAGTCCCAGTAATGTTGACTGTTTCTGTTATCATCGATGGCTTACAGCTTTATTAAAAGTCAGATACTCACGTATCGAATTTCACAGATCCGGAAGTATCCCTCTCCTGTGATTGACTTTGGAAGGTACTCATCGAGGATTTGCCCTGCATCTGGGGCTGGAAGATGTTCATCGAAGGATCAAGGGTGTTGGTGTTGGACGCAGAGATGCTTGATGTTGTGCCACTTCCGCAAGAATCAAAAGCGCGCGTTTCGAAACTATTGACAAAAGAGGATTGTCTCGGTGGTTGAGGAGCCGCCTCTTTCTGCGGACGTCCTCGAATATACTCCGGACCTTCAGCAGATGGCTCTCTAATTGCACGTCCACCACTACCACTAGTCCAGGAATCAGATGTTCTCGGTTCAAATGTGGGTATTGATGCAGCGGCAGGAGTAGAAGTAGACATCCCCAAGCTCTCATCACTCTCTCTTGAGTAGTTAGTTCGTTTTGGTTGTGGATAACTGGAGAAGTCCATGGAAGTGGTTCGTGTAGAAGCAGTTTTGGATTTGTCGAACGATTCTTGATTTGTAAACTCGTTTCGTGTCAATTGTGGTTCAAACGGAGATTGCGTTTTCTGCTGTGGCTGGAGCGGTGCTCGAACCTGACTAAAGTCCATGGTCCCTCCTGATACGTTTGAACGTCCACTCTGGGACTCTCTAAAGCTCTGTGAAGGTGAAGGCCCACTGGGAGGAGGCTGAGATTTCGGTAGTTGTTGTTGCTCTTGCAATGAAAACGAAGACGGTTGTATTTGCTGCTGCCGATTCTGTCCGAATGTCGGTTGCATTGATTTTTCTTTTACCGGAGTAGTTGTACTAAAAACTGATTGTGATCCCGATCCCATTTGTACTGGCGGACTTTCAGCTGGTGCCTGAGTTGGTTTTGTGGGCGGCTGGGACATATATGGTTGAGAAATAGCTCTATAAAAGCCATAAATACATGATCAGTTAGAATTATTAGGTAACCACCTATCTCTACTTTAATGTAATCAAATAAGCGATTCGAAAGATGCATAATTCAATAATGTTTAAGACGTGTGGACTACATTTTGATAATTATTAAACTTGTAGTGTTATGGAAACGCCCATAAGTGGTAAATTGGTTGCCGTAGTAACTGAGATGTGTTGACAAAACATGACTAAATGTGAAAAAGGAGAAAGGAGAGCTTGACAGCACTTTCCCATAGAGGAGACAATCTTCTCTTGACTTTGCGAGGAAGAATATTGTAGGTTGAACGGATAATCCAATGCATTTTACTTCTGCAAACATTATATGTGCAAGTCACCTTTAAATGGTTTGTAAACAGTTTTTCGTATATAATATATGTATATTATAACGGAACATATAATAGCTTTTAATTCGACATAGACATTACCTACACCCACCGCTTAGATGTCTTTACAGCCATAAATCAGAGTACTGTTAGATTTTGTGAACCAAAAAGGCACACAATGGCTTCATTATTTGGGATCCTACTAACTAAAAAGATTAGGATAGTGACCTTTTTAAATAGGATTATGTAGAATTTGTCAGTGGATAAACTGGTGTGTAGCTAAGCAGACTTACCCTGGTGCCGCCTTATTTGCAAACTCCATGCGTTGAAGAAGTAGTTCAGCGATTCTAGCACGATCTTCCTCTTGACCATCACCCAGAAGGATAAAATCAGATCCATAGACCTTCAGACGAAAAATAGAGAGAATTTAATAGTCAGGGTTCTACTAACAGTCTCGCTACCAGTCACAAATATGCGTGACGTGGCCTGTACCAGTGACTACACCGAATCACGCAATGCAGAAGAAGTGCTTAAAATCAAAGCGACAAAACATAACATTTTTCAGATCCAGGGCAGCGCTGCTCCATTGTGGGCTTTGGTAAGAGATTCTTCTCTGACATTGCTGAAAGTAACGTGTTAAGCCACTGATTATGAGCTTTTACAAGGTACTCCTTTCACCCACTAATGCAGAGGTGCTTTAGGCTGTCTCAAAAGCATTATTAATTTAGCGGTTGCTTTTTAAATTCATCATTTTAACAAAACCTTAAATAAGTCCCAAGGTTAGTGACATTTTAAACCGATTCTAGTTGTAAGCCACTCAAAATATCAAAGAAATGTATGAGTGTCACCAATGAACAAATGATGTGGGTCAATAATTGAGGAGATGCAGCTACAATTACATAAAGCCTAAAAACTAGTCGAGCAGGTGGACTCAAAACAAAGGCATTGTAAGTTTACGCACTCATCCTAAAGAAGGATGTAGATTGTGAACTAATGAATGAGCACAGTCATACAAAATAAAAAGGGGAAAATCCAAATCCAACTGGTTATAAACCAGTCGAAGTCGGATGCAGCACGTTGGAAAAGGCTTCGTTCTCCATTCTCGATTGGAGGTGATAGTGACTTGGTGCTACTGACACCACATTTGACAATGATTGTGCCAAGAACCAATTTTTTAGCAATGCCTTATAATCGTGAATGGCAGAACAATCGGTCTACACCTACATCACCTGAGGAGGGGGAGGCATGGAGGATGCTCTAAGACCAATGCCTTTCATCACCCACTTGCCATGC